CGACGTTTCGGAAAGCAACACACGCCTCCGTCATCAGATGTAACTAATTTTTACTGGAGCAGTTACACCGGATAACGGAGGCTTGTGTTGCTTCCGAAACGTGATTTAATTTAGTTATTTTCATTTATTATTATTTTATTGTTATTTTACCTACGTGACTTTACCAAAATAACCTAAGAGTATGAATTATTGCAGAGCAGGTCTGTCGGGAAGACAGCTGTCTTCCCGACAGACCTGTTCTTCACCTGAGCACGGCTGCTTGCGTTGTGGCCGAAACGTCGTGAGAATTATTTTATTATTTTTTATTTTTATTATTTTATCATTTCCCTTCTACGTGACTTTACCGAAAGAACCAAGAAGACAGTCGCTCATCCACAAAAATCACGGTGAGGCTGCGTTGGCTCTCTGAAGCCGATGCCCAATAAACCGATTGCAGACATCGGTTTCGGGTCAGTGCTGGCGCCTAGCCAATCCGCGCCGGTGCCGGGACCGTTGCAATCTCCGCTCGTGAGAATTGCGTCGAGTAGACCCGGGGGGGCCTGCGCCGTTTCATTTTCGTTTTAACGCGTGTGTCCATTCCCGAGCCTCAGCACAGGATCTCCAGATTTGTTGGCTCATTTCCCGGACATGGGCATCATCCCCCCTGAGCCATCCAGTGACCTCTTAACCTATTTATTTTTGTCCATTAATAATAGGAAACAACTGTTAACAAAATCAATTGCGCAATTAATTAAATGGTTTTTTTTTTAAATGTCTATATATAGCTTGGTGTCGTGTCGCTCCCTTGCAATGGAGCCCAGCAATCCACGGGCGATATCTAAACGTTCCGATAACAAATACGCCGGTTAACGGACAGGCCTCTCCCATGCACGAAACAAATGCCCCTGCACCGAGCCACCTCTCTGCCACGATGAATTAAGCGACGGGCTTGTGTGAGCCCTCGCGCATCCGTTAATCCACCAATCGCACCAGACTGCAGCCTGCTGGGAGCTTAATAGAGGCTCACACGATGTTCCCTAATGGAGTGGGTAAAGTCTGCTGGACTCAACAAGTCAAGCAGCCTCCTGATGTGCACAGCACTAATGGCCGAAATTGAGTCAAAACATTCGTGCAAATAACAGCTTAGGACAGAAACTCTTATTTGGTTGCAGGGGAGGTGATGGCAGCATGGAGGGATGGCCTGATTTTAGTTAGAATGAAATAATAAATAATAATATTCATCTACAGCCCTTTGTCAATCAACTGGTGGATGTGTGTCTTTCCATGTAATGTCGGTTAAGCGAGTTGTTAAACCATAGTTCACCATTTCGCGTGACGTGTGTTCATTCCAGTGTGACTATGGAATGCGTCTCAGTGCAGTTTTTGTCAGTGCAGCAGGGTTAGACATAACATAATACATTTGTCGGCCACTTCAGTATTGCAGTACAGGAGAAGTAAGTGCAACACAGCTGGGTTATCCAATTATGTGAGTACAGCAATAGCCCGGGCTACATCGCGGATGCGTTCCTGAAATGTGCGACGACGAAGATTGAAACGATGTGAATCGCAGCGATTTACAGGGTAGGTGGTGGTGGTGGTGGTGGTCATGGTGGTTGTGGTCGTGGTGGTCGTGGTGGTGGCGGTGGTGGTCGTGGTGGTGGTGGTGGCGGTGGTGGTGGTGGTGGTCGTGGTGGTGGTGGTCGTGGTGGTGGTGGTCGTGGTGAAGGCTGAGAGGCCACAGATACGAGAAAGGACGCCACGATGCTGTCACCGACGTAAGTGTGGATGGAGGCGACGAAAATCGAGTAGCGGTTTTAAGAATAAAGTGACGACGTATTTGCGAAACAACGTAAAATGGAGGATGTAGATGGGGGTATTACTGTAATCGATTACTCCACCGATTATCGGTTAGATTACTCTACTAGTCGGATAACACTAAAATAGTTGGGGGAATCGGGTCTCGCTACTGTCCGCACGTGTGCCGCTGGACGGGAGGAGATGGGCGGGGCTTGGTGACTTCATCGGCATAATCAGCCGAGTCCTTGTTGGGGCGTGGCTTGCAAGGGGGTTTTCCCTCCTTCGCGAGGCAGGATGTCGGGGCGGCCCGCCATTTTTAAAGGGTCCCGAATAATCGACCCGCAAAAAAAGGTGATACATTTTTCAATTTAATCTCGATGAATACATTTCATCGAATAATCGTCCCAGTTGATTTTGTTTAATTGTCACGCATCGCTGGAATCACTACACCTGAGAGGTGAACGCGAACTTCAAAATGGGACCACATTTCGCAATGGGCGGCGGTGGCAACTTCCGAGGGGACTCAGCACAATAGCCGACCGACCACGTGCCCTCGCCCTAACAAGCGAGCCAACCATCTCCTCGCACAAACTAACTCTCACCTTGACCCTTTAACCGTAAGCCCCTCCTCCTCCGGCGTGTCGCCAGGACATTTTTGATTTTTTTTATTCCGTGAAAAGCGGCACTCCGCGTACGTTCCCGGGGGGGGCGCGGGGACGGGGGGGGGGGTACTCTGTGCGACATCCTTGCGTGGCGCGACCAACTTTGAGCAGACGGCAGCGAGATCCGGCGCTGTTCGGTGAGAGGTCACGTGCTCGCCGTGCTCTGTGTTTGAGCGCGGCTCTCTGTGCCGCTTTGGGTCAGGGTGAGTCAGTGTGTGTGTGTGTGTGGGGCTATAATGAAGACAATAATGGATAACGCACCTTCCTTCTGCGTCTCCACGTATACGAATGCAATGTGTTTTAGTCATCGAATGTGTTTTAGTCATCGGTCTATTGGCTTCCTAGACCATATTGCCCAAAAGCATTTGTTGAAGCAAACGAACTCTGGACCGGTTTTTGTCCAGGATTTTCTTGCTTCAACAAATGCTAGTAGGACAATGACAATAGATTAGGTATTTGAATCTTCAGATGCAGACCGACCGTATATATTTTTTCTGTTGTTACCCACAATTCTTCACATTAACGAGTTTGTGTAGATTGATAATAAAAATGTCATTTAATCAGGGGAAAAAACACTGACCAGTTTTTTTTTTAAAATCAGCGTATATTACCAGCTGTATAACATGAACATTTTAACACGTAAGCTTTCGCGACCAATGTTATTCATAATCAACGTTTTTGGGTTTAGATCGCGTTTATTTATAAATGTGTCATAACCCTCCACCACCCGATACGGCCAATCAGTAAAAATGTGTCACGTTGACAAAGACAAATAGTTCACTGCTTTAGCCCACCTGTGTGTTGAAGTACTCAAATTGTAAATGTTGTGCCTTCAACACACCGGTGGGCTAAAGCAGTGAACTATTTGTCTTTGTCAACGTGACACATTTTTACTGATTGGCCGTGTCGAGTGGTGGAGGGTTACGACACATTTATAAATAAACGCGATCTAAACCCAAAAACGTTGATTATGAATAACATGAACATTGTCCATAGAAATGGAACAAAAGTTGATGAATCACACTTAGGAGACGGCAAGAGGAACATGTGGATCAGAGGACGAATGTTAATAATTTAAAGACATGAAACCCTGCCATTGAGACAAATGAGTGTGTTAAACCAAAGCTGCTGAAATTGTGCTCTCCCAGCAGACTGTGTAGCTGATGGGATGTGGAATATAAAAAAAGATTTTGTTTACATGGAGGGACAGATATGTGAAAGAGGCAGGAGCATGGTCTCCTTATTTATTGAGATATCATGGACAGGACACATCACGACAATGGATGATAGCCGGTGGTCAAAACTAATAAGAGAGTGGCAAGCATCGGATGAAACGCGCCCAACAGGATGTCCATCATGGCGATGTAGGAATGAGATCAATGTATTTAAGAGCTACAAGGATGCTTGCGGTTGGGCGAGCGGGAGAGTGAGTGGGCTGGCGACCGTGAGAGTCAGTAGGCTGGCGGGCGAGTGAGCGGGAGAGTGAGCGGGGGGAGTGAGCGAGCTCATGAGAGGGAGAGAGACTGGGCTGGCGGGCAAGTGGGCGGGAGAGTGAGCAGACTGGCAAGCGGGAGAGTGAGTGGGCTGGCAGACGAGTGGGCGGGCGAGTGAGTGGGCTGGTAGGTGAGTGGGCGGGCGAGTGAGTGGGCTGGCGGGTGAGTGGGTGGGCTGGTAGGTGAGTGAGCGGGCGAGTGAGTGGGCTGGCGGGTGAGTGAGCGGGAGAGTGAGCGAGCTGGCAAGAGGGAGAGAGAGTGGGCTGGTGGGCGAGTGGTCGGGAGAGTGAGCGGGTGAATGAGTGGGCTGGCGGGCGAGTGAGTGAGCGGGTGAATGAGTGGGCTGGCGGGCGAGTGAGTGAGCGGGTGAATGAGTGGGCTGGCGGGCGAGTGAGTGAGCGGGCGAGTGAGTGAGCGGGTGAATGAGTGGGCTGGCGGGCGAGTGAGTGAGCGGGTGAATGAGTGGGCTGGCGGGCGAGTGAGTGAGCGGGTGAATGAGTGGGCTGGCGGGCGAGTGAGTGAGCGGGTGAATGAGTGGGCTGGCGGGCGAGTGAGTGAGCGGGTGAATGAGTGGGCTGGCGGGCGAGTGAGTGAGCGGGTGAATGAGTGGGCTGGCGGGCGAGTGAGTGAGCTGGTGAATGAGTGGGCTGGCGGGCGAGTGAGTGAGCGGGTGAATGAGTGGGCTGGCGGGCGAGTGAGTGAGCGGGTGAATGAGTGGGCTGGCGGGTGAGTGAGCAGGTGAATGAGTGGGCTGGCGGGCGAGTGAGTGAGCGGGTGAATGAGTGGGCTGGCGGGCGAGTGAGTGAGCGGGTGAATGAGTGGGCTGGCGGGTGAGTGAGCAGGTGAATGAGTGGGCTGGCGGGCGAGTGAGTGAGCGGGTGAATGAGTGGGCTGGCGGGTGAGTGAGTGAGCGGGTGAATAGTCGAGTGAGCGGAAGAGTGAGTGGGCTGGCAGTCGAGTGAGCGTGAGAGTGAGTGGGCTGGTGGGCGAGTGAACAGGAGAGTGAGCGGGTTCACGTGCAAGCGAACGGGCGACCGTGCGTGCGTGCGTGCGAGCGGGCGAGTGTTACCTGCGGCGCAGGTGGTCGGCGAGGTCTCCGCGCGGCAGCGCCGATCTGCCGCAGTCCGCCGCGAAGGGGCACGCGACGGGCAGCTTGTCGAGCAGGCGCCGCACCAGCAGGCTGGCGGCGCGGCACGCCTCCGGGCGTAACGGGCGACGGTCGAGTGGGCAGAACGCGCCCAGGCCGCCGCCCTTGCCGCTGCTGCCATTGCCGCCGCCGCCGCTCGCTCCTGAGCTGCCACATCCACCGCTGTGCCGGAAAGAATGAAACGAAGATTGATAAACGAACGACGCACGAGTGTTACCGCCGACTGCAAGGATTCATATTCTTAGGTTTTTTCGGTAAAGTCACGTAGGTAAAAAATTAAAATTAATAAAACCAGTATATATACAAGGACGGTTTTCTTGGAATTGCTCTTACTTGATACAGCAATGGTGCTGTGACGGTTCCACCTGAAGACGGAAGCTTGTGTTGCCTCCGAAATGTCGTGATTTTTATTTTATTTTTATTTTACTTTTATAAATTTTAATTTTTTACCTACGTGACTTTACTGAAAAAACCTAAGAATATGAATCCTTGCAGTCACGAAAGCTTCAAATCTAGAAATACGCACGAGTGCTTTCGTGATGATTGTTTCTGCTCTTTTTATGCAGAGAAGCCTCGCCGGGTCTCAAGAAACAATCTGTGTTAACGAGTGTCTTCCCAAGTTGTCACAGGGGGGGGGGTGCGGGAGGGCGATGTGGTTGCTATGTGTATTCCCAATTGAGTCATTTCCGTTGCATCTTTAAGAATATTTGCAGGTAGTTTGGGGTGTTTCCCCAATATTGGTTAGTTATGGGAGGAAACGAGAGAACCCAGAGAAAACCTACGTAGATGATGTTGAGAACTGAGTGGCGATGCTGCCGTGTACTGGTCAGCGCACTGGACTTGTCATCGATTCGATCTTCAAGCAGGGCAGTATAAAAACAATTGGGCAAGTTTTTTTAAATCTCCCATGCCCCCCCCTCCCCACCACTACCATACACTCTGTCAATCAATCAAAAAGCACATTCATCAATAACAATATGGCACTGCAAGAAAAAGTAGATCACAGGTGACGTTTCCGGCAATGGTCCTTCTTCACTGCACGCGATCAATCAGATCGCTCAGATTCTGGAAAAGGCATATCAAATACCATTAGGCCCTGGCCTGTGAAGACTACGAAAGGCATTTGACTCAGCGTGAATGGATGCACACATCCAGACGCTCACAAAACCGGAGACCTCGATAAACATTCGGAATGGATACTCTTTAGTTCTTTCGGTAAAGTCATGTAGGTATAACATTAAATAAACATCAAATCACGACATTATGTCGCACAAGCAGTGTTAACTCCACAGTTAGCAGAGCCCCTCCTACCCCCACTCTCTCCATCTATTATACGGTCCATATAATACTTTTTTAATCTTAATTGTAAACTATTGAAAATTATTTAATAAAGGTGTTCAATTTGGGGGTGGGGGCCGTGCCCCCTGTCGGACCGACGCAAACGGATCGTCTGTGTGTCTGTACTGTGCTATAAATACACAGGAGTGCTTCCTTGATGTAAACCAGTGAAGCAGAACTTTACCTATGATGACGATGATGATGATGACGACGACGACGATGATGTACAATGGATGTGGCTTTGCTTACGGACAGAATGGTGGTTATGCTGAACATCCTGTCATTCAGGACCATTTTGATTGATTGGCATTTAAAAATAAAACTACAACTATCCTCATGAGACGAGCAAATGAAACACGGCAGAGATAACCCCTAAAAAAACCTAAATAAACTTAGTTAACTTAACACGTAGGTTTTCTCAGACTATTGTATTTCATAATTGAATTTTGGGCCATTATGTGGCCTAAGACAAAGACACAATAATGAATAAAGCAAGTTGTCGTGAGTCTATTTCGGTTTCGATGTTATCGACCTCCCCTTGTGCGTGCTGCGTGTGCGTCCTTGTGTTGGGAAACGCAACATCAGGACGACAATTTCCGTTCAGCCTGTGCATGCGTCAAGCCTCTCCAGCAGCATCACAAAAGTGGGTCAAATTGTCAACGTTTGTTTCGTTTCCTCTCCCCATGTCCTCAATGAGCGAATTGAGGCCGCTTCTTGGAAAACCCTTCCACCGCGGCACATTATCCCCATTCCACCAAACAGCAGTGTGTTTGGCACAAACCTATGAAAGGATTTGACTTTGAATTGAGCAAAAAAAAAAAAATCTTGCCTTGACAACCATTCAAGGAACAATTGATCCACACGTTTCGGATTTCATATTATTTTGGGTCGCAGATTTCGAATTGAAAGACATCGGCGGAACGTTTTCTCTCCTCTGAATGAGAGCGTTGGAATGACAGCGAGAGCTTCCATTGAAATCAAGGTGGACACTTTGAACGGTTTACCTTCCAACGAGTGATCGTGTTCGACTTCCGAGCTCGAAGGGTGGCTCGCGATGCTAAGTAATTTTCACATTCAGCTCCTTGTCATTCCATTCATTTGCCTCCCTGCCACCAAATGCCTCCGAGGAGCCGCTGCTTCCCGCTGTCGCGTTCATTAGCTTCCATTCACGACGCAACCCTGTTTTACCACGAGATATTTTTGTTCGCACGCATTGATCGGCGCACAAATAATAATCGGAAGAAAAACAAGCAACTGAAAGAGCATTCACACGGCGAAATGTCTGGGGGCGCGTGGAGGCGGGTGGGGTGGGGTGGGGTGGGGTGGGGTGGGGTGGGGTGGGGTGGGGTGGGGTGGGGTGGGGTGGGGTGGGGTGGGGTGGGGTGGGGTGGGGTGGGGTGGGGTGGGGTGGGGTGGGGTGGGGTGGGGTGGGGTGGGGTGGGGTGGGGTGGGGTGGGGTGGGGTGGGGTGTTTTAGTTTGAGAGGCTCTTGCACGTAAACCGCAGGACACGTGCGCGAACAAATTGCAAACAAATTCTCCGCTACCGGCCTCGTTAAAATAACACTGAGCCGACACGAACGTTTCCAGCCTCGCTGACGGACGGCAACGCTGCTGATAATCACTCACCACGAACTCGTACAGCCCGCTATGTCCATCCCCTGCTGAACGAGGGCCTCCCGACGCATTGCGGGACAGGAGGGATATTTGGCCATGCTTCACCACACTGGTGAGTACGACTTGGTGATGGAGGGGTGGGGGGTGACTGCGGAAGATTGAAATTCCCTGCGCTGCCCACAGCACCTGTAGCACCTGTTGCTTGTGGGTGGCCGTCACCCACCCAGCGGTTCGACGCTGCTCATCTCGGCGATCTGACGCGATGTGGCGCATCACCGTGCTCCACAAACACAGGGTGTGCTTCGGCATCGGGGGCGAGTGTGCGTGCGGCGAATGAGCGCGTGAACATCGACAGGAACAATATTCGTCGTTTACAGCCCCATGTCAATCTGCTGCCGGAGGAACGCCCCTCCTCCCTGCCATGCCGGTCATCTTCTGCTCTGACCGCCTCTTAAATGCGTCCACGTTGTGCGTGTGTCTGCAAAAACACTGTTGTGATTCACCATCGCCACGGAAGTTCATAATAAGCCTCGTACAGTAATTAGATATCTGAAAGAAAACGGTGCACACGTGACCCGTGTCGCATCTTCAAACAGGAGAGCTTCAACAAATGTCTTCACTTTAATTACAATAGGGGGGGGGGGCGGGGGGATAAAACAAAACAAGAAACACCAACCAAGGGGACGCAAACTCGCGAACGGTTCAGCCTACACGTTGGGCCACTAATGAAACGGCGCGACACAATTTCTCCGTGAGAGTTTCACGCTGTCAGAAGATGCCTGCCGTGCAAACCCCCCCCGCCCCCAGCACACCCATTAACTGCAATCATTTTCTGTGACATTTGCACCAGTAATTAGTTTCTTTTCCCTCCGAGGCATGTTTTACAAATTACGAAGATCGCTCCGGACCGTTGCGATGCTGCAATACTAAGTGTTGTCCGCACTCATTGCTCGCGAATTAATTGCGGCCAAAAAAAATACAAGTGGGGGATTTTCATTATTGTACAAATGCGCTCAAGTGGAGAATTTTTTTTCCATCGCATGCTCATTATTATTACTAATTACTAATTACGAATAATTATAACAGGCGAACGTAGGGAGAGAGAGAGAGCAAACGAGCAGCAGGCTCTGTGAGAGCCTTGGCTTTATCCCCAACCAGCGTTGAGAGCAAAAGTGAGAGCGTGCGAATTTGCACGGCAAAATCGGGCGCTGCGATATTTTGAGCCATTAACGATGAAAGCTGCTCATTTAATTACCGCTCCACTTCGACAAGCAACGCATTCGGTGCGGGTAACTCATTAATAATCAGCCGCCGCTTGCTTTTTTTTTTACTACTTCACCAGTTTTCTCATCGTTTGGACAGATGGTGGGACCCCCTTCTTGTTGAAGAATAAGCATCCAGCATTAAATTTCGATTTAAAGATTTCGTGACTGCAGGGATTCATCTTCTTGGTTCTTTGGGTAAAGTCACGTAGAAAGGAAATAATAAAAAAATTAAAAATAAACATAATAAAATAGACGCTGTCTCCCCGACAGACCTGGTCTTCACCTGAGGACGGCTGCTTGCGTTGTGGCCGAAACGTCGTGAGAATTGTTTTATTATGTTTTATTTTTATTATTTTATTACTTCCCTTCTACGTGACTTTACCGAAAGAACCAAGAAGAAGCATCCAGCATTTTACCCCCCAATTCACCGGCACTCGCATTTCTAGCGGCGAACAGCCGATGCGCAACAGACACGCGAGCACGCACGCACGCAGCGTTCAGAAGAAACAAAAAACGAATTTTCGAGAAGTAAATTGGACGGCAGTGATTATTGTTGGTGGCATTAACCTAAGAAAACTTAAGTGAGATATGAAATGTTCTCACGCTAAGAAGAAATGTGATTAGAGGGCTGTATTATTATTTGTATGCTTATTATTTCAAAAAGAATGAATATGTTTAAGCGTATTGGAGGTTTCGTGTTTTTTGCCTCGTGTGGCCAAAACACAATTGCTGCTCTAGTGATTTTCTGAATGAGCCTTCGCAGTTAATTCTTTTTTTTTTGTTATCACTCTCCTGCTTTGACTGCATTAAGGACATTCTTCCTAGCCGGCCAATTTTCACCGGCTGTGTCAGTTAATGAATTACCTTAAGGCTAATCTGGGTGCGAGCACTGAACATAACCTCAACCTTGTACATTTTCTTGGCTTGGAGAGGTGATCTAAAAT